TTATATGAAAGATTGCACTAGGAAAAAAGTTTATCAAATAAGTTACTATGTTCACATCTTTTGAACAAAACTTCTGGCCAAAACTTATGTGAAAAATCTGATTGGTTCAATATACTCATATTTTTATTCCAAACCTGCTTTGAAAATGATTCTTCTTTGAATTATATAATATAGAAAGATAATTACTTTTTGATGATAATACACCTCCAATTTTTAGATCTGTATATTCTCTGTTATCAAAAATTTTAAGTTTGATTATTTTACAAGCTAAATCTCTACTTGGGGTTTTCACTTCTTAAAAATGAAGAATATCTCAAACAATAAATCAAAAAATGGCTCAAATTATCACTAACAAAGTACAAGCAATCTAGTTGTTGAAAATATGAGGTGATAGAGAGTACATCTCATATGTCACTATTTATATATAAAAATTCATTTAAAATATATTAACTTATTTAAAATTCTATTAATTTTTAAGTTTAATAACACTAAAATATTCTATGAATAAATAATTATCACACAATTTTTAAAAAGTAATGAAGAATTTAAAAATAAAATTTTAAAAATGTACATTATATCATTAAGTTGATTTGATCATATCTACCAAAATCAATCATTATCATTATGAGACTTCAAAAATCATGCAATTTTTTGACAACTTTATTTTTCTTTTAGCACATACAAAAATCTTTGTGATTATTTTACTTCAAGATTAACTTTTTCAATTTTTACCTCAAATCAAAAATTGATTTTTTTTTATCTTGAATATAAGTTTAATTCATATAAGTTTAAAATATCATGTTGTACCATGTGTCCTTATTCATGAAGAATTCTACATTTATCAATGTGCACATAAGATCGTCAAAAATTTATATTCTCATCCTTTCAATAGTTGCAATTTGACAATATGGATCATTTTGCATTAAACTCAATTGTTTGATATCAAAGATTTAAAGAAATATATACATACATATATACTTATGATATGAATCATCAAAATTCAACATCTATTTGTTTGAAATTTTTTGAATTTAAGTGAAAACGCATCATATTATACTCTGAAGTAAACTTATAATCAAATATATCATGTTCATTTTTTACCTTATTTTCCGCAATATTTTTTGAAAACGAATTCACTTATTGTGACACCAAAAGATTTTTGAACTTGCATCTATGGTATATAAATTCACTAGTTTGTTTTAAGAGATTAATATTTTGTCACTTGTTGTGATGGCAAAAAAATATGAAATCAAATATATTAATATCGACCGTCACATTTTTAAGTTGTATACTGCAACTGTTAAACTGATTTAATGTTAATACTAACGTCAAAAATTATTAAACCACACATAAACTTCTACCGCTCTCTTTTAACAATCAAATTAAAGAAAATCAATTGTCAAACCTTCCAGTGCCATTGCTTTCTATTACTTGTCACTTCTTGTATCAAAAGATCTGACCATAAGAATTTTCTTCGTCATTTTTTATTATCTATTTTTGAATCCAAAAATTCAATTGTCAATGATTTTATATTAATGCCAATGATCATGTCACGACTGTACATTGTGAAATAAAAATTTTATATAGTTGAATTATGCAACATAATTAATTGTCAAATTACTTGACTAATAAACTTTTTTTAGAATATTTGTTGGCTACAATTTTTATCTTGCACTCTTTGCTCCAAAAAACTACTCTTTTATGGAAAATTCAAAAAAGTTCATGGTAATTACTTGCTGCAAATGAAATTTTTTTATAGTAAATGGCTAGATGCTACTTGTCATGTATATCTATCGATCCAATACATCATTTGTAGTTGTGTATGAATGTTACCCATGCATTTCCAAGCAGTGGACAACATGATTCATCCACGCCATGCTACTTCCACTTAGGAACAAGCTCTATTTATTTAAAAGAACTCTGATTTTCTAAATGAAAATTATCACTAGTTCTCTAAGCTCCTATTAACGGTATAATAATATACAATGAAATGAACTAAAATTAACCAAAAAATAAATTAAACTCCAATTATATTTAAATAATCAAGATTATTAACTATGATAGATTCTAAAATTATTGATAAATTATTAAATACTATTCATCTCAAAAAAAAATTCAGATCAAATGTCAAACATGCATGAAAAATATTCTATTAATTCATTGGTTATAAAAAACCGTCCTTAGAAAAAATAAATTAGGAGACTCATCAAAAAAAAATTCATTATCAATCATAAAAAATATTATCAATTTCAATTCATACCTTGTAAGAAGTAGAAAAAAAAATTAAAAAAATGAAAACTTTATCTGTTTTTGATATTTAAAATAATAATTTCAACCCATTATATATAATATTGAAAACATATTTGAAAGTAAAACAATTAATCAAAATCTACATATGTCTGCCTTTATGAAAAAATATATGAGGAGACTTGTGCTGTGTATACTCTAATGTTGTATACAATTTACGAATTAGTTAAATTCCAGACCTTTTTGAAAAAAAACCATAAATCATTTTAAAAAAAGAAATAGAACAAATTTTGATGATATATATTTCTCCCAAATACTTGATTGAATTGTAATGTACTTTATGGAAGATTTACCTTTTTACAATAATAGGAATTAGAATTATATATATGGTTAAATATTGAAATAAAAATTCTTGAAGTAGTAATCACACTGGGTTATTAAAGTATGATCAATGTGTAATATAAAATTTTTAATTATTTTTTTCAAAAATAATTATAAAAAGGTTTCCACCAAATAATATATGCTTCAAACTTTTTTTGCAAATTTTTTTTCGTATATTTAACCAAATTTTTTTTCAAAATTTTAGAATTATGGATAAAAATAAAAATATGAAGAAAGAATTTTATGCAATTTTTTTATCTAAATAAAATGGTTTCAATTTATATTGTTATTATATTTATTTTATTGTGACTTTATACTGATGCATGTAATTTCTAATTTATTTTATTTATGGAAAAAAATTAAAACTTTTCTTTAAATTTTCAATTTTTGTTAACTTTTTCAAATAACTTTCAAATATTAAATTTAATTTCGTACCCCGTGAGGATAGTGGGACGCTTTACACAGAACACTCCGTGCCGGCTTGTCGCTGGAGACAAATTATTACTAACTTGGCGCACCTTTTCCCTTCTAGACCATTCGACATGGAGATACGATCTGTAAGTGGTGGAGACATGCATGTTTCAAACATGCACCGACTGCGTGCGTTTTAGAGTGGATCGCCGGAGACCTCGGCTGTCCTTCCTTTGTCTGCATATTACCTGCACTGTTCGCCTATTTCCGAGATAGCCTTACCCCTCCACGCTGGAAAATTCGACGAATATATCAAATCGCTGAGCCACATTTGATGTTTCTGAGATCTCTTGTGATGTGTGTCGTAGGTCTCGTGGGAGTGTCCGTAGCACCTTTTCCATTCCAGCAAACTACAAGCACTTCAAAAATCTATAAAAAATGTCATACATCTTTCTTGAACGTGCAAATCAAATAGAGGGTATCGAGAATTCACTTCACTTTTCCATCGTCTCATTCGAGCAAACAAGGTCATGATAGAGCAGTGGATGGGTTGAAAGTTGAATATCAATAGAATTGTCAAAAACTAATCATGCACTAAAATTTGACAATTTGACGTTTGAGCATAGAAGAGATAAGTAAGTAGCCTCAGGCTTGGCTAGTTTGATCTACATGCTCCACAATGTGTTATCTAGAATTAATATAATTTTTTTAAATATTTTTTTTTGCAAAGAATGAGAATGGTACTCCATCATATAAAGCTCTCAGAAAGTAGAGTATAAGAACTAACACAATATAATTGAAACTCCCAGTAGCATTAGTCTAATGCATCTTGCATCTTTGTCCATTGCAAGAACCAGAATAGAACGTAAAGATAATCTAGCCTGTCACACTTCATTCAACCATTTAGAATTAAATCTTCGAATTAGCACAGTGATCATCTACATTGGAGCTACCTTTAAAATGATCATAAACTATCAAGAACTATCTATTATCTTTATGATAATAGACGCGAGGTTGCGCTTAGAGAAAGAGAGATTTATCTAGATTGTATCATCTAAATATGATTCTTCGCACAAGGATGGAATCAAAAGAAGAAGTTAAATGAATAATTTTTCTGGTAAGATTAGCCATATAAGAAAATGTGCAAAGTCTGGTCCAATAACTTAGATAATCTATGAGACGAAATGCCAATGTCAACCAAATCTACGAGCTCGACAATTAAACAGGATTAATAACCGTAAGGTTAGCTACAGAAGTTAATAAGCAGCTATTAACGTTTAACGACGGTCGTGAAACTTAGAAATTAATTTCAAGTTTCTCAAGTGCACAGAGCACACACTGGCACATCTTTAGAGATTGAAATTAGAAAGATTGGCTTATTTTGATTACCTTCATTTTTGAAGCTTACTAACACGCCCTGTCCAAAACTCTTAAGTACACTTGCGATCACAAAAGTAAATACGTAAACAAATGTTTTGACAAACAGACAAACTCTAAGATTTCATTTCTTACCATCTCTCTAGAGGTCGAATTATAGGAACTCTTTGCGCTAAGCACATTTGCTATTTCAACGCCCGGGTAAAGCATCAGAGACAAATGTATAAGTGATTTTTTAAGTAGCGGCTAGTTATCCCTCTGAGGTTAATCACGACGAAGTAGCCATCACTCAACGCATAAGTCTGCACTGCCCATACCCCTGACTCAACGCATACGTTTGCAAGTCACAGCGTCCAATGTTGCGCGAGAAATGAGACCTCTGGCGATGGAGCGAGACTTTTCATGTTGAAATGAAATGTCTATGAACAATCATATCCCATTCTTAAACAATTTATATAATTGTTGTACGGTGAATGAATATTAGCATAAAGTATAAATAGGTGATATCTAGTAGCTCTTTTTTTCTAGATGCTTTTAATGATGACAGCAAGGAGATGTTATCACATGATTGGAGTAATTCACACGGATGAAGGACAAGCCAAACCTCACTGCTTTGTGCGACGAGGATGTATAAAAATTCGGCAGTTTTGGAGATTGTTTCAAACCGTCCTCAGTCATGCATGCAGCTCTGCCTTGCTCACACTTCTCAGCCGTCCCCTTCCTTCTCAGCTGACGCCACGGTGTGTGATCGACAACCACAATGGGGAAGTTAATCCTGTGCTGCAGTTTGCTCGCTCTGATAGCATTGACGGAGATAATACCGTCACGAGCTAGCATTCTCACATTGAAGAGGCCGAGAAGGCTTGATTACTATCTTCATGACAATCTGACTCTAGGAAATTCAACCACAGTGCTGGTTGCTAGCACATCTGCAACCGGAGGATCAGCTGGATTCGGTGACCTCAGAGTGTTCAACAGTCCATTAAGAGCGACGCCAGACAGAAACTCGACCCTCATCGGAGCTGCCACTGGAACTCTTGCCGATACCTCGTTCTTGGAGCCCAATGTCTTTTACATCTCGTTCACTCATCTGATTAACATGACGTCCTGCGTAGGCACAATCTCCGCTCAGGGCAGAGTTACTCCTGCTGCACCTACATGGCAAGTTTCTATCACGGGTGGCACGGGTAGTCTCGTTGGAGCTCGAGGCTATGCTGATGTTGTCGCCTTCTCCTTGACCGATCCGACGGACACCGTCTTCAGGTACACGGTTTACCTGTCATTCTGATTGAATTCCGCCCTTTGTGGACTTCACTCCAGCTCTTGGTTCATCATAAACCTTGCATGCAAAGTACGTACGAAACTCTGGGAGCTCAATGCCTGCAAGAAACTTCCGCTTTTCTTCCGTTCAGTGGATCAAGTTTGACGATCTCATCGTCAGTTCAAGTCAGCTGCAGGGATGCAGGGACTCTGACTGATTCCAAGTCGAGGCCACACACTAGATTAGATGAACCACCGAACACCGAATTGACAAGTAGCACTATGTATCATACTTTAGATATCTCCGATCTTAGTCTGTTGTTATAAGTGGACCGACAGTCACTTCAATAAATTCCATCTTTCCGAGCCTTGTGGTTGCATGCAAGTTTTAAACGTCGTGCAGGCTTTGGGATCTGAGGATTTTCATATCAGAAATGTAGCTAGTGACTTCTCGGATCTTCTCGCAGCTTCTTTACTGTTCCCGAAAGCCTCGGCTTGGCTCTTATTTTCCTAATGATGAATTGCAACATTTAGCTTCTGAATTTGCTCGACAGTTTCATCAACAAATCCTTCAATGTGGCAGAAATTGGCTGTGCCTTTCTGTACAAGGACGAAATATGGCTTTAAGGAACGCCATTCTGAATCCAATTCTGAAAAGATACTCATTCTTGACAAGGGCAAAGGTTGCGTGCATATTATAAAGCCTATGCGTTGGCAAAAGATTGAGCAGATTTCATCAAATCAGGACCGTGGAACGAAACAAACCAGGATTGAAATAGACAAAAGCTGAGCTTAACTTTGAATCCAGCGGCTTCACTTAAATTTTGAGTTCTTCAGCCTCGAAAAAACGATTTCTGTTATGGATCGATACTTATGCAATTTCCGACCTTCCACTGTTAAGCCAGAGCGCGTATAGATAAAATGCAATGATACTGAATAACCAATGATTTAACATCAGTTTGGCTAGATGAATGATGGTCGAATCACACATGGCCCGAAACGAGATGCGACGGAGAAGAAAAGGTTGAACCTCATAGCCAGGCTTATCACACTGAAGAGCTTGCATATCTGCGGATGATTTGTCTGCTCCGCGACAGAAGAGTACAGCTTCTGCCACTTTGGCAAAGAAGCTATACTGTCAGAACTTTAGAGGGTTGTTGGCCAACACTTCCCTATCGTTTTAGATGATTCACTTTCCTATCAATTCTGATCTCTATGGTCAAGACTGAGAGCACCATCACTTTTTATCAGGTGACTGACAATGAAAGAAAGAAAAGTGTATGCATCTATGCATCATGAAGATGCACTCCAACAGCATAGTGGTACATTTAGCTAGGTAACCCGAGCAAAAGGTCTCATGGTCAATGACCTGACTCTGCTACTGGAAACGCGTCGATTCTTCGACAAGATTCTTTCAAATCAATTCGGAAAATATCCCACGTTGTAGAACCCCACGACCTTTTGTTGTAATTTAGTCTGCTTCCAACAGCTTTGTTTGTGGCATCTGCAAGTAATGTCAATTGTTGGAAACTCGCAACTATCTCTTCACCAATTTCATATCATTCATGATTCCTACGTCCCGTACCAACTACGATTGGTAGGACAAAGTCCGTAATCTCAGGCTTTAGTAAACTGCAGCCCAGCCTCGGGACCGTGCAACTTCATATAGCAAATGAATACTATCTTCCCATTATATTGATATAGGACAAGCCTTAGCTTTTCTTACAATATGAATCAATTGAAGTTTTTAATCAGTGTATCTCTAACTGTATATCATTTTACGGTTCCTGAAAGGATCAAGCCCTTTGCTTGCCTCCCCGAGAGCAATGAGGTCCACTCATGAAGTTGCTATTATCTCGATCGCCCTATTGTTGGAATCTGCACTCACAAATCTGCTACCTTTTTTTTAACACGTGTTCTGATGAAAAATTTGGGCGATTTCCCGACGTAACAAGGTAACAAGATAACAAGATACTAAAATGGCTTAATTAAATGAAAACTGTCGTGCATGAAAGTGCTCTCCACTAGTCCTTACAATTCTGGATACATTGTGCATTTATCAGGTTCCGTCTACTTGCTACAACTCAATCGTGTATCAGTTTTCGGCTCATCGTCCTTACTTATATATATCAAACTTTAGTCAGGATCATGTTGATCAACGAGCTAGGGAGAAGACCAGCGAACAACTTGACAAAGAAGTTACAGATGAACGAACGACGAATTTTGCACAACGTCTAATGCCATCCATCAATGATAAGCTAAAGAGCATACGTTCAGCGAAATTCTAGAGCTTGATTAAAGAATTTCTGTGTTAACAGAAAAATTATTCCATCAACCATCCTCAACATAGAAGTTCTGTGCACCTGCAACAGCGGGACCCGAAACCGTGATGTCTAATATGACGCTGAAACTGACAACAAGGCTTTATAGCTGGATGACACTGGCGAAATACCAATAGATTCGCACCTATGCTTGAGGTTGACTGGATCCCCATTGCTCAAATATCTTCAAAATGCAGAAAGATCGCAACAAAAAAGCTCCGGCTCAAGAACAATAAAGTCAACCACCGTAGTGAAACTCTGAGGTTTTCCGCGACACCTGTAGTAGTGCGAAATTCCCCATAGATTCATTATCCGCTTGTATTTTCATACGCATGTTTTTTTCTATAATTTTTTCACATCTGATTGAATGCATTTATGTGCTTTATATATATATATATATATATATATGTATAAAAAGCACTACAAACACTACAAATAGATGGTAAACACTACAAATAGACTGTCGAGTTGCTGGATAAAGTATTAGTCAATATACCATACCTAGCGTACCCAGGACTGCTATGTACACTTTCCACCTGTACCAGACACTCGACTGCCTGCCCTCGTAACATCGTGAGCATATATCTACATCGAAGCTCCATCTCATCAGACTATCGAAATGAACATCAATTGCTTCGATTCATTGTGAAACGAACCATACGTAACCAACAACAAAACCTCTTCTCGACTCTTCTTGTACAATAAATGTAAAGCCTTTGAATTATAGAATGAACAAGACACCCTTTAGAAACTATAAAAGATTGCTCCCTCATACTCTTGCGATGAAGCCTAACTTTTAATATCATCAATCAAGATGCGTATTTGAATATGTGTAATAGTCCAGACTTATAGTTTGAAAGTAGTCTCTCGATCAATCATACTCATGTGTTGAAGCTCCACCTCTTTAAGATATGAAATAAACTACCCACACCGTACTGTGGCTTAGATACGGTAAATCTCTCAAGACTTTACATGTACGACATCTTGGACTAAAATCTAGCTGAGAGCAAATGGATTCACAACATAGTCGGTAAAACACATTTTAGTTAAGACGGTATGCCTTGCTTTCGGTAGGATAACGTGACTTATGATATATCATATGAAAACATTGAATATATATAAATTTTGTAACTTATTAAGATTTGATCTTGATGATGACTTATTTACTTATTATATACTTATTTATTGCTTAGATTTTTTTAATGATAATGTAGATATGAAGCGAAACTTTAACAAAATTATTTATAAAGTTTTTCATCAACTACTGAAGAGTCACTTCAAAATTTTTACTTAATAATGAGTTGATTGCTCCTTCACTACACACAGAGCTCAAACCCCTGTTTTCCATTTGTTCTAAATCTTGAATGAAGATTGATTTGCATCGAAGAATGTATGGAAAGGAGAGACGATCTCTGCCCAAATAAGTAAGAAATCAATCTCGTAGTAAACGTACTCTTAATAATACTTTGAAAGTAAAAATCTAAAGCAAATGACACATGCCACTTCAAGTCAATTTTTTGGTACTTTTTTCAAGCTTCAGATATCAGAAACAGATGAAAATGACTCAAATTTTCATAATAAAGAGGTATGACGGCACTGACATGCCTTGAGAATCAATATTTTTGAACGTTGTTGCCTGAATAAATGGAAGGGTACGTCGTGGGTAGAAGGATAACAATGTCTTTAGAAGTCACTTTTCATTTCACTGTTTAAGTTACTATTTGATATTGCAGTTCCAATGACAGACTCGTCAACACGAGTATCATTGTCAGATTAGTACTTACCCTCGAGTTACAGGCCACACAGGGTACCATAACATCGTGTGATGGCGCATCGAAGGTACTTGGGAACCTTTTAGCATTATTGACTAGAACATTAATGTATCATCAACTTACGTCTCACACAGTGAAGTCACTTCCCCTATTATATATGTACCCTATCGATAGATACCCAACGTGCCCTTCTTATGATTAAAGACGGCAAGACCGGAGCTGCAATTTACTTCACCAGTTCAGCAGTAAAAGTCTTCACCATACTTTACAGAAACCCCTTTGATGTTTGTGCACGCAATTTATCTAGGGCCCTATCACTCATTGATTATTATCAACAAAGCTCGAACAAGATACAATTTTTTCGTCACTGCAAAGTTTTCTACACATCCATTGTATGAAATAACAAAAGTGGAAAATATGGCTTTTTGTTTCAAATCATGGAAAAAATGGCCAAAGCATTCTGCTGGCTAGACAGTGAGAAACAAAAGCTAGGGCGGAAAATAAAATGTAGAGTAAATAGAAATTTCAGATATAGTTTTTTCTTATGCTTCAAGCAGTCATAAGATTGAACAAATTAATATGATTTATAGAAAACACAATGCTAATATCTATTGAGTTTCAAAATTTTCAGGTATTACATATTTAATGCAAAAACTAAAATATGTATGAGAAATTGCTTGCACTAATAGAATCAACACTCAAAATGTCAACTCCTTTTTGTCATGAATTATATTAGCAACTAACTTTGTATATAAATTTCTTAAATTGTAGTTTACAGATTTAACGAGTTTTTTTATAAAATAAGGCTAGCCTTTGTCTAGCTAATTATAAACACACACACACACACATATATATATATATATTAATTACACACCTGAGCTAATTCCTCACAAATTTAGTACTGACTCATGTGTAAAAAAATCTAATTTTTAATTCTGAATATGATTGCATTATGAAACATACTAGCTCTGATGAACAATCATTTTTCTGTATATTAGAACTAGCTAGAATCAAGAAGAAAATTTAAAATATTTTAAAATGTATACAAACATTTAAATGGCTAGTTCACTATAAGCTCTCAAGAGACCATGGTTGTAATATTTCAGGATGTTAAAAAAATATTTGTGAAAAAATCTACTGAAGAAAAAAACAGAAAAATGAATAGAAAATTTTAATCTTAATTAGCACATTATTTTTCAATAAAAAATTATAGAATAAAAAAATATAATTCTTTAGATTGATTCTATTTTTGTCTATTCTCACAACTGAATGTAAGTATTTTGATTATTAGAATGGAGATTCAAAATATTGCGTCCATATACTTCATGTGACAACTCGTTTTAATCACATCATTCGTTCGCTAACACTAATTGAGCCTTAATAAATACATAATAAATTGAGT